TTTTTTTTTCTTCTAATTTAATGCTACATAGATCTTTTATTTGTCTGAACAGCACCAATGCAGATCAAACTGATCAGAATGCCTAAATTCAACCCGCATTTTTAAGATTTCTTAAATAAGCATTAAAAATGCAATGGATAAAATTAGAAACTTAAATAGATTATGAATAAGACTAGAAAAGTAAATTGTATCCAAAAGTTTCAAATGCTAACCTTTGCTGAAAAAGAACCGTATTTTCTGTATGCTCTTCCATATCAAACCATTTAATTGCATAAAAATCACGTTCGTCGTATCTTATCAGATGAAAATAATCAATTCAACATTACAGAAATACATTTCTTATCCATTATCAAATCGATTATTTACCTCGTTGCCATATGTGCCGACATCGTCTTTGCTAGCCAAATATAGGTTTCCCGGGAACAATGTATTTTGTACGAGCGATAATGACGGCATCCTCTGTCAGAAGAAAAGCGATCTTTTTCTTACCTGTTTTCATTTTATTATCAAAATCGTAGGTGATGCAAAGTTTTCTGAACAGTAAAGTACACAACGAAACTCGATGATTTGTACGTAGAAAAAAGTTTTTTTTTCGAAAGATTTGGATTATAAGCATCAAAAACAATTTAATTAGCTTCTAGCGGAGCTGTTGAATATGCTATTTGCAGCAATAAAAAAACCATTAGCTTATGATTTTTTAGTGATTGCTAAAGAATTTTAAATTAAGTCAGAAAAAAAAAGAATGATAAGTATTTTGCTGCTTTTTTTTCTCCTTCTCTCCCCTCTCCTGCCTTTTTAATATTTTTACACAAAATTCACATGCTAAATATTGTGCAGTTAAACTTACGCAAAATATTCCGGTAATTGAATCAGTGGTGAATAGCAGTTCGATCTGTGGTACAACTATAAACAAATGGTAGTTTTATCTGGTTTTTTCAGCACAGCCTGGTAAAAGTAGAATTGTTGCAAAATTTTTAGCTTAATTATTATTTCTCAATAGTTATATTAATGTTTATAAGAAAATAACAAAACTTCTTGTCATAAAACACTAAACGAAAAAGAGAAAAAGCAGAGATTAAAACAAAGCAAAAGTAAATTAAAATTTATGCTAATTTTATAAATTTTCTTTAGTTACTGTTCTTTTTTGATTAAGTAGCAAGAAGAAATGAGAATAAAAATAAAAAAAAATTCAGAATTCAGTTAGAAGTCTCAATTTGATGACAAAAATTATAGTCAATAAGATTCAGTAAGAACTTAGTAATATTTCTGATTGCTTTTGATACAGGGTACAAAAGTAAAATCAAAATTAGTGTTTTTATCATTTTATATAGTTTTTTTTTCAGATGTAACCTATAATTCTTCTAAATCTAATGTGGTTAACATTTCTATTTGTTTTTTTTAGTAATGTAGTCTTAGACAATAAAATTAGAAAGTTACTGCCATATATTTTTGTGTTAAACCTGATGTACATCTACAGTTACAGCTGTAGAATCCGAGAATCCGTTAACCATTGTAGCTAAGCGG